TAAGGCCAGAGATGATATCTGGGCCTCAGGGGGATTTCAAGCACACAGGACACGTAGGACTGGACGGGGCATACTTTGGTGATGTCTCCTTCCTCGGAGATAAGGTCCAGGCTGGGAGATTTGTTCAAAAAAAGCTTGATAAGGTCAAAGTGTGTTTTGTTTTTAATTAGGCTAGTGTCCCTGTATCACAGATTGGGAAATGGCTATGGGTATGATATGGGTATCTTTTGTCTTATTAATTTTTTTTTACTAACATTAGAAGCAAAGCTTGTGCTCTCATGATTCTCAGTAGCAGAACTTATAATAGCGGAACTTGCAAATTTGTATTTTAAAATGTATTACAGACAAAGAAAGTGCTCTCTTCCTGAAATCTCGTATGGGATTTTAACCCATTCATGTTAGGATGACATTACATCATGCACAGTTGAGTCTGCTCCAGTTTGTGTGCTGTGGTTGTTGACGAGAAGCAGCCCCTCAAAAGTAGCAAAGTAGCCTTAAAACTTCTTTCTGGCTGTATCACTTAAAGAAATGTTAAACCATAGCCAAAATCATAGAGAGCAGGTTAATTTTATAGTGAGTGGATTAATAATTCTTATTCATTGTAGACACCTACATCAAAGATTGTTCTGGATAATGCAATTTTTTTTTATTTATTTACAATGTATTTAATGATATTTGAATAGAGAATTCCTCACAATAGGGTATATTTGAATTTCAGGATAGAAATGTTATAAATGTGGATGGTAGTGCTAAGGATAGTTGGATGGACATAAAACATTGTTACATCCAAAATGGATTTCATAAATAACTAGGCCATGCCTCCTCTTGGAATGGAAAGCATGACAAAACTTCATGTAAAGAACACAACAGGAAATCGATTTTCTAAGATGAGGCAGAGACTTAAATTTTTTATAGTTACTGAGAATCAATGGGACAGTTGTTAGAGGTTGTCTAATTGCTAGGCAGTGGTGATAAAAAGCATGCTGTTATTTAACAAACTAACAATTTTTGAGCAGAAAACATAGGTGGCTTAAAAAAAAATCTTGAACTGTATTTCATTTTTTGCTCTACGTGGGATGCTTCTTACTCAGTAATAAGGCATTTTAGTGCATGGATTTCTTTTGATTTTTACTTTTTGATGCTGTATGAGTTTAATGTGGTTTATTTGAGTAGTTTTTATTTTTCAGTGGCAGGCATGATTTAAAGCACAAATAGTGTTTGTAATTTTAATTTTTTTTATTTTTATTTATATATATTTTTTACTTTATTCATTTAGTTGCTACATTCTGCAATGATTATCTAATTATTGTCACAGAAATTAAATTGCTTTTTGATTTGTTTTACCTTTGGAGTTTTGGCAGCTATCTGCAGCGCTTATAGTTTTTGCTTTCAATACTCTTCATTTGCTAGACCTGCAGTTTACTAGTTTCTGAAACAATGGAATGAACTTTGACACATCAAGTATCATCAGTGAATATAGGTGAAAGTAAATTACATTATCAAGTGAGGATTGCACATGTATAATATTTTTTACTCATCATCCTTATCATCCTTCCCTCAAACAGTATCATCAGTTGCCGAAGCAGATTGTAACCCCATACAAGCCGTCGGATGACCATGATCAGTCTACGTCACTGACTCGTGCAAGTTCCGATGTTTCAGACAGAGCGCCATTACTAAAGAAGGTATAAGTTAGGATTTTTTTTTTCAGTTCTGTAGTGTACAAATCACCAACTTCAGTCACTGATGTACTGCACAGAGTAAAGAGTGCTTAAAAAATTCTGCATGGAATGATATATTTGTTTTTTTGCAATCAATTTTGAACTTGGCAGGTGGGCGACAAGGGTAAGTCTGGCCCGGCAGCTGAACACAACTGGTCGGACACAGCCAGCGAGGACCAACCAGACAGTCCAGCTCGCACTCGGCAGTCGGACCACGAGTACCATGAGATATCCGATGAGGATGAGCCTTTGCCCAAAGTGGAGGTAGGGAAGGTTTGTGGAAATAGTGATGGCATTTGTATTTGTTTTGATTGACTTTGATCTGTATCATATCTTTCTGTGGATAAAAAGAGTTGAATATGCTATTCATATTGATATTTGGTACAGTTTCCTCTTTACATCTCCCCGTTCACAGCCGTTCCGGAGCAGCTCCTTTGACCTGGGCCCAAGCCTGATGGATGAGGTATTCAAGGCTCTTGGTGGATCTGCATCTTCCGGCCCCTCCTCTCTGGATGCCCCTGGGTCACTCCCCCCCCTGACACCCACACAGCAGTCGCAAGCTCTTCTAGAGGACAATGAGAGCCACAACGTCAAGAATGAAATCAAGGAGATGACTAATAAGTTCTCCAACAAGGAATGTTCCAAAAAGAAGCAGGCTATGGTATGTACCATTATGTATGGAATTTGTTTGTATGGGAAAATAAATCCACATACCTGTTGGCCCATAAGATGTACCTTGTTCCAGGGTAAAAAAATGTAGAATTTCCCATGGCCTGTATGACCACATCCCAAATGGGAGGTCAAATACCAGATATATAAGCCTGATTTCTCAGAATTCATAAATAGTTGATGAGGGAGACAAGTGATCTATCCAAATCATCCACTGTGTTCTTATTCCTATCATCAAGGAATGACATAGTGTATGACGAAATGCATTAAAAACGTTCATACTCAACAGGAGTTCATCTTATGGGCTTGAAATGTTACATTTTTGACCAGCTCCCTTTTTATATAGATATGTTATTGTGCCCCTGCATGAATGTCAGTTTGAGATCCTTTGTTTGTGTTGTGTGGGAAGTTTTGGATTGAAACAGGAAGAAGAACAAATGTCCTTATATGATATCTTGACTTGCAAGTAACTTTAGATATCTGTTATTTATCAGATTCTAAAAAGGATAAACAGTCATATGCTAGTCTTTACACATATGACTCATTTGTTTTAAACTTCATCCAAAAGTGTCACCTTTTCATGTTTAGATTTCAGCAATTATGAATGCTGTATAGTGCGATGAACTGATAAGTGTTTCTGCTGTGATATTTCTTTTGCTATGGGTAATGATTTTAAGGAAACAATTTTATTTGTTCATTTTCTAAAACTGCTATGGAAGTGTTATCTTATGTTAAACCTTGTCCAGTAAACCAGCATGAATTTGTTTTATCTTCCTTTAAGAGCTCACTGATACTAATAAAGACTTGATTGTTTTAACAGCCTAATTATCTTTCTTCTTCTGAATCTATTGAAGCTTAATCATTCCAACAGGTGAAGCCAATCTCGGCTGCAGATCAACGTACCTTAGACTCTGCAATAGCCATGGCTAATGCGCTTGCCTCCAAAAGTATACTGGAATTAGACCGTAATTTGGAAAGTTCGGCGGACTCTGATGGTGTCCCAGACTCCCCCATCACCCCGTCATCCCCCAGTAAACAGGGAGGGTCTCGCTTTTCCTTCAAGTGAGTGATGGGAGTTCATATTACATTTAGAGAAGGAACTTTAAAGGGATTACTAGGAAATATGCTGTTAGCAAAAAGAAGTATAATTAGTGCCTTGAGTCTCATATATAGATATAAGTATTATGAACTAGAGAACATTGATGTGTGCCTGTGTCATTCTCTGTTAGGATTTATGTGCATGTGTATGTACATGTGTTTTTAGTTTTTATATGAAAATTATAAATCTTAGCATATTTGATGTAGTTCTCAAGAATAAATTAATTATGTGTATGTGTGTTTGGTTATTGATGGAATTGATATAAAGTAGTTTTGAAGGTAAACTGTATTTTTCGACAAGATTAAGAAGAATTTTTAAAAAATTTCTGACAACTATTTATTGTACTCTAATGAGTGATTGAATTTTCTGAAGTATCATGAAGAATCTCAATAACTGTATTTACAAAGTGGTATGACATAGAGTAGGCTTTCTGGAACATGTCAGAGGGATGTCAGAAGAAGAAGAGACTGAATTTGATTATTTGTACCTTTTTGCATGATGCATTATGAAAGTGTGCTTTTAATATTTAAGAAATATGAATTTTTTTATTGATTTGCTTCTTAATGTAGATGCTATGCTGTATAAATGTGAGAGATAGGAAAATGTGTGAGTATATTTTTCTCTGATATTTATTTATTATTTTGTTTCTTCTTGTAGATTTCATTGCAAGGGAAGTCCAAAGCCAGAGAGACGTCACTTTAGCGCTGAAGCTGCATCTATACCAGATATTCAGGTAATTTTTTGTGCATAGATGAAGAATTCACTTGATTTGTATTCTGCATTTGCATACTATTGAATAAGATATAGTGTGATTGTGTTGCTGGGAAGGTAAGGTAAGTTTTTGCCTGTCCCTAAACTTGTCCTTAATGAGGTTTTTGACCTTCATTACTAAATGAATTCTTTCAGTCATCAGGCTCTTCAGCTCCTCAGGGGCAGATCCCAACTTCCTTTTAGACTTTCTTCTGTCCTTGAGTGATCTTGCTTTCATACTTTCTTGATTCTGGTCATCATCACCTCAGCATTTCTTCATTGATTCCCTTTTCTCGCTTTCTCTGTGGTTTGCTGCCAGGGGTGATGAGCAGATGAAATAAGATGAGGAGCATGTCAGGGTGGGGTTTCTTGGATGAAGTTGTTCAATATCACAAAATTGTACTACTTTTCAAATGCAACCTGATGAAAAAAGCTTCACATCTTGTCACATTCAAAATGGATGATGAGATGTAGACATTATTTTTTCCATATTAGCTTAGATTTCCTGTCTCCTTTTTCACCGGGAACACTTCATATCTCTTATTGTCGTCTGTCCCTTTTAACTCTCCTCATCTTTCATCTCCTCCTGGTATTGTAGTGTGGATTTAGTATTACATATCTTAGCATTAGTTAGTCATATGATAGATATTACCTAGGAATGAGAGCCTGCAACAGGAGGATGTAAGCCGATGCAAGAGGCTCATAGAGGATGCATTGTAGTATTGGAAGTAAGAGCATAATTGGATTGGACTTGCATGTATAAAAGAGAAACAGGACCTCTTACTTCCTAATAGGCTGAGCTTGCTCACTAGAACTACTTGTGAGAAGTTATTGGGCATACAAGTGCCCAAATTTACTTTGTATGTATTAAGGTTGATCTGATTACACCCAGCTATTATAATTTCTTTGCATTTAAAAGTATCCTGTGATGTTTCATTGGCTTAGATGGGTTTTAAACTCTGGGTGATGTTTTCCTTCAACAAAACACAAAATATTGGCTCTCCCATTGGCATGTACATTTTTCTCTCTCACACTTATACCCATCATACACTCACCCTCTTTATCTCCCCTGCTCTCCCCCAAACCTTCCCCTGCCCTCCCTCCTCCCCTCCTCCCCTCCATCTTTCTTCTCTCCTCTCTCTCTCTCTCTCTTCTCTCTCTCTCTCTCTCTCTCTCTCTCTCTCTCTCTCTTCTCTCTCTCTCTCTTCTCTCTCTCTCTCTCTCTCTCTCATCTCTCTTCTCTCTCTCTCTCTCTCTCCTCTCTCTCCTCTCTCTCTCTCTCTCTCTCTCTCTCTTCTTCTCTCTCTCTCTCTCTCTCTCTCGCTCTCTCTCTCTCTCCTTCTCTCTTCTTTCCTTTCTCTCCTTCTCTCCTCTCTCTCTCTCCTTCTCTCCTTCTCTCTCTCTGCAATAGCCCCGAGTTGCTTCTCTCCCTCTCTCCTCCCCGCTTTTCTTTCCTTTCACGTATATTTCTTCCTTCGCGCTCTCTCGCTCCTAGTTCCGCTTCGCTCTCTCCCTTTTCCTCTCGCGTCTCCGTGGACTCCTTTCTGCCTGCTCTCCTCTTCCCGCTCCTAGTGTGCCTCTGCGTCCCATTCGTCCCCCTGGGCTCTCCCCGGGTTCTCTCTACCTCTCCTATTCTCTCAACTGTCTCTCATCAGCGTTCTCTCCATCACTTCTCTCTCTCTGTCGTCTTGTCCTGTATATGTCTCTCTCTTCTCCATTCTTAATCTATCCCTTCTCTCTCTCTCGTTGGTGGTTTCCTCCTTCCACCTTTCTCCTCTCTCTCTGTCCTCTCTCTTCTCTCTTGCCTTTGCTCAGGTCTGCTCCAGCGTTTCCTATCTCTGCTGCCTCGCTTTCTTCGTGCCTCCTTTTCCGTCTGCATCATCTCTCTTTCTTCTCTCGGGTCCCTGAGTCTATGCGCTGCCGGTGGCCTGCTCGTCGCATTTCACTCTTCTGTTCCCGGATCTGCTCGACTCTCTCTCTTCTGTTCTTTCGCGCTTCTTCCCTTCTCGCCCTCTCCTTCTCCTCCGTCTTTCTCCCTGCGGTGGCCTCGTCTCTCTCTCCTCAGTCTCCCTCTCTCTTCTCTGTCGTGGTCTCTCTCTCTCATGCCTCTTTCTCTCATCTCTTATTTCTTTCTCTCGTCTCTCTGTCGTCGGTCTCGTCCTCTATCTCTCTCTCCTCCCGCTCTCTCCGTCTCTCCCTCTCCCTCTCTCCTCTCTCGTCATCTCTCTTCCCTCTGCCTTGGACCCGACCCTCGTTGAATTCGTCCTCCTCCTTCCGTCCCCGAGCCTCTCTCTCTCTCTTTCACGTTCTATTACTCTCTATTTCCTTTCCTCCTCTCTGCATCTATCTCGTCCTCATTCCTTCCTTTCTTCTCTTTCTCCATCGCTCTCTACCTCCCTCTCTCTCTTCTACCTCTCTCTTCCTTCCCCCTCGCTCCTCTTCGTCATTCACACCCCTCTCCACGGTTTCCCGTTTCCTCTTTGACATACCAACTCTTGGCCCTGCTCACAGCTTTTTTTTCTTTTTTATATTTCTCCTTCTCCCTCGTCCACACGCTCTGTACTCCGTCTCTTTTCCATGCATCTACTTGCCTCACTACCATTCATCCTCGCCTCCTCCACGCCTCACCTCTCTTCCGCAGACTCTCTACTCATCTCTCGTCTCTCTCTCCTGTTCTCTTCCTCTCTCCTCCTCTCTCGTCCTTCTCCTTCTCTCTCCTCTTCCTCTCTCCTACTCTCGATCTTCTCACTCCTCCTCTGTCTCTTCTCCTTCTCCGTCTCTCTCTCTCCATCTCTCTCTCTCCCTACCTCTACTCTCTAAACCGACTATACTTGGGGGTAGTAAAAACCCAGTATCTCATACTTATCCGTTATACAATCAGCTAGTAATCATTATAATTCCTTCTCTCACTCTCTCCGCCCGCGCAAACACTTTCACCCTCTCACCCCTTTCCACACCTGTCCCCAACCCTGTGTCCATCTTCATCATCCCCTCCCCCTGGGTCACTGGGGGGTCGGGGGAGGTCTCTCTCTCCGTGCGGTGATGATCTAAGTCTCTTCTCTCCCCCTGCGCTCCTCTCTCCTCTTCTCCTTCTTCTCTCTACTACCTCCCTCGTCTCTTCTACTCTCTCCTTCTCTCCTTCTCCTGTGCTCTTCTTCTTCCCCTCACCTCTCTCCCATGTTTGTCTCTCTCTCATCTCTCCTCTCTTCTCCTCTCCCTCTCCTCTCTCTCTCTTCTGCTCTCTCTCATCCTTCTCTTCTCTCTTCTCTTCTCTCTCCTCTCTCCATCCCTTCTCTCTCCGTCACTTCTCTTTCTCTCCTCTCTCTCTCTCTCTCTCTCTCGTTCTCATCTCTCTCTCATCTCTCCTCTCTCTCTCTCTCTCTCTCTCTCTTCTCCGGCCGCTGTTCTCTCTCTCTAATACAACATCTCATCCTCCGTCTCTTCTTGTCTCGATCTCTCTCGTCATTCTCTCTCTCCCTCACAATCTCTCTTCTCTCTCTCTCTCCTCTGCTCTCCTCTCTCTCATCATCTCTCCTCCTCTCTCTCTCTCTCTCTCTCTCTCTCCTCTCAATTTCTCTCCTCTCTCTCTCACATTCTCGTATCTCAATTTCTCTGCTCTCGTCTCTCTCTCTCTCACTTCTCACTAGTATATCTCACGTTCTCTATCTCTTTCTCACTGTCTCTATCTCTTCTCTCTCTTCTCTCTCTCTCTCCTCCTCTCTCTCTCTCTCTCTCTCTCTCTCTCTTCTCTCTCTCTCTCTCTCTCTCCTTCTCCTCTCTTCTTCTCTCTCATTCCTCTCTCTTTTGCTTCTCCTCTCTCTCTCTCGCTTCTCTCTCTCTCTTCTCTTCTCGTTCTTCTCTCTCTTTTTTACTTTTTCTCCTCTCTCCTCTCATTTGCTTCCTCTCATTCTCTTCCCTCTCTCTCTCTCTTCTCTCTCTCTCTCTCTTCTCATCCTTTCTCTCTCTCTCTCTTCTCTCTCTCTCTCTCCTTCTCTCTCCTCTCGTCTCTCCTCGTCTTCTATTTCTCCTCTCTCTCTCTCTCTCTCTCTCAACTCTCATTCGTCTCTCTCTCACTCTCATCTCCTCTCTTCTCCTTCTCTCTCTCTTCTTCTTCTCTCCTCTCTCTGCTCCTGCTCTCTCTCTCGTCCTCTCTCTCTCTCCTCTCAAATCTCTCCTCTCTCTACTCTCTCCTTCCTTCTCTCTTCTCTCTCCTCTCTCCTCTCTCTCTCTCATCCTCTCCCTCCCACCTCTCTCTCTCTCCCTCACCCTTCTCGTACCTCTCTCCCTCCCCCTTCTCCTCTCTCTCCCATCCCCTTCTCTCTCTCTCCTCCCTCTCTTAGCATAATTCTTCCTCACACTTTTCATCTCCTCCTACTCCCTTCTTACTATCTCTCCTTGTCTTCTCTTCCCCATCCCTCTTCCTCTCTCACCCCTTCCTCTTATCCCTCTCCACCTCGCCCTCTCTTAACCCTCTTCTTTCCTACCCTCCGCTCTCTCCTCCCACACCCTCCGCACGTCTTCCCTCTTCCCCTCCCACTTCATCTCTCCCTTCTCTCCTGTTCCCGCCCTTATCTGCTTTTCCTGCTCCCTAACTAAGCCTTCTCCTCTCCGCTACACTACTTTTGTCTAGTCTATTTTTGTCTACCTATGTCATGATGTCTGTCGATCCCAACCTGTTCTCCCTTCTTCGGCTCGTGCCCCCTCCTTCCCTTATTCGATCCCATCCTGTCCTGACTGAACCTCTCCCCCATTGCACCTGCCCCCCACACTCTCACTCTTTACTCATAACCCCGGCCTCAACCTAGCCCTCCTCTCTCTTCTCTCGATCTCTACCTTCTTCTCTTCTCTCTCCTCTTCTCTCTCATCTCTCTCTCTCTCTCTCTCTCCTCTCTCTCTCTCTCTGCTCTCTCTCTCTCTTTTCTCTCTTCTCCCTCTCTCCTCCTCTCTCTCTCTCTCTCTCTTCTCTCCTCTCTCTCTTCTCTCTCTTCTCTCTCTCTCTCTCTCTCTCTCTCTCTCTCTTCTCTCTCATACCTCTACTTCCTCTCTCTCTTCTCTCTCTCTCTCTCTCTCTCTCTGCTCTCTTCTCTCTCTCTCTCTCTCTCTCCTCTCTCTCCTCCTCTCTCTCTCTCTCTTTCTCCTTCTCTTCTTTCTCTCCCTCTCTCCTCTCTCTCTCTCTCTCTCTTCTCTTCCATTCTCCCTCTCTCTCTCTCTCTCTCTCCTCTCTCTCTCTCTCTCTCCACTCTCTCTCTCTCCCTCCCTCCCGCCCTCCTCTCTCTCTCCCTCCCCCTCCTCCTCTCTCTCCACTCCCCTCCCTCCTCCTCCCTCATCTCCCACCCCTCCTCCTCCTCTCCTCCTCTCTCTCCCTCCTTCTCTCTCTCTCTCCTCTCTCTCTCTCTCTCTCTCTCTCTCCTCTCTCTCTTCTCTCTTCTCTCGTCTCTCTCCTCTCTCTCTCTCTCTCTCACTCTCTCTCTCCCCTCGCCTACCCCTCCCTCCCTCCCTCCCTCCCTCTCCCCTCCCCTCCCTCTTCTCCCTCTCCTCTCCCTCTCCCTCCCTCCCTCTCCCTCTCCCTCTCTCCTCCTCCTCCCTCTCCTTCTCTCTCTGCCCATCTCTCCCTCTCTTCCCTCTCCTCCCTCTCCCTCGTCTTCTCTCTCTCTCTCCTCTCCCTCCCTCTCTCTCTCTCTTCCCTCCCTCTCTCTCTTTCCCTCCCTCCCCTCTCTCTCTCTTTCCCTCCCTCCCCTCCTCTCTCTCTTTCCCTCCCTCCCTCTCTCCCTCTCCCTATCCCCCCCTCCTTTCCCTCTCTCTTCCCTCCTCTTTCTCTACCCTCCCCTCTCTCTCTTCCCTCCCTCCCCCTCTCCCTCTCCCTCCCCTATCCCCCCTCCTTTCTCTCCTCTGTCTCCCTCCCTCTCTCTTTTCTACCCTCCTCCCTCTCTCTCTCTTTCCCTCCCCCTCTCTCTCCCTCTCCCTCCCTTCCTCTCCTCTGTCTCCCTCCCTCTCTCTTTCTCTACCCACCTTCCCTCCTATGCCCTTCCTTCCCTCCCCAACTTCTCTTCTTCTCACCCATGCTAACCTTTTGCCATGCTCTCAGCATCTCTGTCTCCTTCCTTCCTCTTCTCTTCCTTCTTTCCCTCTCTCATCATCTCTTCATGAAGTCTTTATCATATTTTCAAGGGAAATGTATAATGCATTTTCCATCTGTCCTTACCAAATTTTGAATTATATTTACACATCTTGTGAAACTAAAGTATCATTTAAACAGATATACCCAAAATTAGTCTTAAGTTCTGTAAAAAGACAAAAAGTTCTTTGAATTGGATGACTGCATTGTATTATGACTAATACTACTAACATCCAACCTACATAATATCACGATTTCCTTTTTTTTTCTTTTCTTTGCAGTTGATCGATGAAGACATAGAAAATGTTTGATTTGTTGGTGGATTATCATTTTCACCTTAACTTGGAATTAACAATGCTTGTATTTTACCCCCCACTTGATTTTTATTTTGTGTAGTGCATGATATGTGTATTAGTGTTTTTGTTCCGTTCTGATAGTAGACGCTGTAGAAAGAGTTTTGTGTGTTTTGTCAACTGCATGATGTATTTCTTAGTTTGTTTGTTTTTTGAACTGTGGGAAAATAGCCCAGGAAATTGTTAATATTTTTTTGTGCATATACAGGCATGCAGAGTCTATACTATATTTCTTTCTTTGTAGTGGTATTACTGATAGTGATCCATGTACTAAATGGAGGTGGGTTTAATAATCCCCATTTGTTTCATCTACTGGACTTGTGTATCTATCAGCTGTTATTTTAGTGCACACAGCTTGATCTTATAGCGTATATATATATATATATATATTTATATATATATATATATACTTAATGTTACTGATTATTCTTTTCTTCTCTGTGTTTATAATTTCAGTACGAATCTCCTGCATTTATAACTTGAATTTTATAGGACATTTTGAGATGTGTTTCTTGAGAGATGATGTGTACGAGATTGGACATAAAATGTTATCACAAGAGTTTTTGTCTTCTCTTCTGTTGCATTTTACATGTACACAAATATTTCTCGGATGGATATTTACTTTCAACTTCATAAATGGATTTTATGGATTCTGTTTATCATTTGGAAATATAGTTCATCAAGTTCATAAGGGAAGGTTTTCATGCAGACTTATATATATATATAACAGTCATTTTCTCTAAGAATCTTTTTGTAAGTTGTTATTAAGTTCATATGATGAGTTAATAAATATAACTGATAATTTCTTTGTTTAATTTTGTCAATAGCTTTATTGATAAATTTCTATAAGTAACATTTTTTAATCATAGAAATCTTATGGTACTGAATAAGACGTAATCATTTGTTTTGAGAAATGAATAAGAATAAGATTTTACAGGGGCTTCATTCTCATTTTCCTTTAACGTAAAATGTGAAATGTGTATATAAAGGCCCTAAGTAGAATTCCAAATAAAGATTAATATTCCAGAATTATAATTAAATCTCTTTTATGGCTGCAGATGACACACTGTACATATTCGTCTCTTAAACATAGTACGATGATTCTTGAGATAAAGCATGCATTAGGATTATAATTTATTTGCATATGATGTATGGGTTAGATTTATAATTTTCCAACATAGTTAATAATTCTGTAAACCTTGAGGAAGATCCAATGAAAAGAAAAAAAAATAGATGTATGGCTGTAGTGGCAGATTTCATGATGTGTATTTGTCATTCCATCTGAAATGAAATTCCAAGGGTCCACTAGTCCTACTGCATGTTATGCATGTCCACATCTCATGTAGGTGTTGCTGTTTATTATGTAGAAATATATCCTGCTTTTTATTTAACTGGACAAGACCACTGGGAAAGCAGTGGCTTAACGTTGTGTTTTTCTTTAATTTTGTTTTTGTTAGCATATTTGTTTTCTGTTTGCCCCAACACAGTCAAGTATATCAGAGGAGGCCAAAGAAGTGTACAACTCTCTGGTGGAGCGACCAGGCCTGGACTGTGAACCCTTGGCTTTTCGCAGTGAGCCAGAGCCACCTGTGTGTGAGCCAGAGCCTGCGGAACACAACCCACTGAGGATGCTTCGAGCCGGGGTCACGGTCAGGCCCAAGATTAGGGGCAACAAGCACAACTTTACCTCAGGCTCCAGCACGATAGAGAGAAGTCACGGGATGAAGTCTGGAGGGGTTCGGGAAGGGTTAACAACAACGTCAAATAATAATTTTGACCTTGGAACACACCAGACATTACCCAAAGGTTTTAAGCATAATAAAGTCCCACCTCCAGTAAAACCAAAACCTTCTCCCTTAGTTATACCTAACTCTGCCTATAACGCTAATAATGAATTTGGGGAAGTCAGCACGACACCAGAAAGCACAAGCACTGATGGTAGCAATCAAGATTCAGTAAATCCTCTCCCACTACCCCCTCGAGATCGAACAAGACAAGCTGCACCCCTTACTAAACCCCGCCATCAGAGAAAACACCCACTCATCATCCCTGGTGGCGTGACCAACTCTTTGCTCCGTGGGGGAGGTCACGTGCCAGCTTTAGCGAGTGTGAGTGACAAAAGTGAGCACACCGGCAGTCGGTTGGTCATCCAGCATACCCATAATCCCTTGCTGGAGACTCATGGCACAGCTGCGGCAACTACATCACCAGCTGATGGATTTACTAGCGATGAGGCTACGAGCCCTTCTGGTCCTAGACTACCACCAGCCAAACCTCCTAGATTATTTACGTGAGTAGTGAGGACTTGTAAGGGCGTTGAATGTATGTTAACTGCTGTACAGTACTGAATATGAGTGGATTTTTTTCCTCCTTTTTTATATTAATTTTTGAATGAATTAATTACCTTGACAAATGTTGAAGAATTTAAAGACTGAATGAGCCACAATATATATGAATTTTAGTATTAGACACATATTCATTAATGGATTGTTAGATAGCTTAAGAAATAATTTTAAGTACATTGGATTGTCATTCTGCATTAGAATTGTATAAATGATTGGTGAGGAGAAAAGATAAGTATCATAGCTTGAAGCTGTAAAGACGTCCATAAGGTCTTCTAATTAATATCATGGAGAAAATGTCTATTTATAATCAATCACAAGTGTTTTGCATAAAACACAAATATTGTATGATAATCACATCCATTTTAGTATACACAGCTATCAAGTTCATATTCAGTATACTTTTTTTTTTAAGTGACTCATTTTGATCATATATATTAGGTGCCACTCATGAGTGAATGAAGTTTCATGTACAGATATGTGGTGCTAGTGGCATTAATAAGTAACCAAGTTTTTGTACATAGGATAGGAGCCATACTCATTTTTGACTGTACAATCACCCTATTCTTCATAACAGAAGTACGAGTGCCCTGGATGACAGCTTTGAGAGTCAAGTGGCCAGTGAGATGGATGCCTTGGATGACATTCAGGAGGAAGAGCAAAGTCTCTCTCCTGTAGGTCCTCTACCTCCTCCCTTTCCTAACTCAGATGCCTTCACTAACTCTTCTGACCCTCATGTAACCACTAATGGCTTTGGGGAGGGACCAGGAGGCGGCAGTGGGTCCCTTTACCAGTCTGGGGATCATGTGTCTTGTGAAGACCTGCTGGACTTTGCCATGGACCGACCCAACTCGAGGCGGACACAGGGACCTGCCCGAGGCACTCAGTCAGACGAAGTCCACATCATGCAGAAAGTTCTCAAGAACGAGGTTTGTGCAGAAAGAGATGATAGGTGATAAATTTTGTTTTTCATGTACCACAGCTAGTCAAGATGGTTTTATTTATGTTTTTGGTGCTATATGTAATGACAGATATATAGCATACTATACTTTAGTCAGTGTTTGAAATTCTCAGTTATTTTTATTCAGTGTTATTACAACTTGACAGCATTTTAGGAAAAAAGGCACACTTATTTTTCAACTGCCACATGTATTGATATTCTTTATGCAAATATGTGCAAATGTTGTCTAATAATAAATGGTTAGGAAATCAGTTTACCAGTAGTCTGATTTCTGAAACAGAAAGAGCTTTGTTATTTTGCAATTCCTATATGTATAACTACTGTTTTTCTTGTTCTACCTTAGCAAGTTTCACCTGAAGAATGTGTTGTGGCCCTGAATGAATGTGAGTGGGATGTGCATCGTGCCCTAAAGTTGGTACATCTCCAGCTTCTCTTGATTGTTCACCGGGTGCCCATAGAAGTAGCTCGCCATACACTGGCCTCCTTCTCTTGGGACGTGAGCAAAGCTGCCTCCTACCTGATGGCCACAAGAGGAAGTGATGAGGACACGGCACAAGTTTGATCTGCTGTGTCACTAATGAAAGTTATCCCGGTGTAATGATGACGGTTCTTTTTTATGTAACTTAATTATTCATTTTTCTTTTCATTTAGGGGGGAATTTTCATTTCTTTAAGGCGTATGCTTACTCAATTTGTGTATTCTGTAATGTTTATTACTGAAATGTGTTAGAAGACTGATGTGATTAAAGAGCAACAAAAATGTCAAAACCAAGACAGCAATGGAGCAATATCACAAAGTAATTGCCTGTCATAGAGTGCGTGGACAACCTTTTCTTTGGCAGCAGTTTCCTAACTCATGTATGAAATATTTTTTCCTGTTGCAGTATCTTTTCTTGGATCTTGGATGTTGAAAATTAATGTATTGAATTGCTGATGTTTTATCATCTAGTTAATATTCTGGAGACATTCCCTTAAGGTTTGAACCTTTTTCTTTCTAAATTTTTCCAGATGGATAGTGATTAATGTGTCCATCATTTGTTGAAAGTTACCAGGCACAGACGCAGAACATGAAGTCAGTACTTAGATTTTATGCCGAGTAAATTTAATCAGCCGTCCTTCATGCCTACTTAAATTGCCATCAGTTTAAGCAGGTGATGAATTTATACAGTTTGTAATTAGCATTAGAGAATAGGTCAATTATTCATGACATCCAACTTTTCTTCAGTTTTCATATATCTTTGTCCATAAAGCATGACTCTACAACAATCTATGATAATTTGGATTGAAGTAATATTTAAGTAGATGTATCTCCGCTCTTTGGGATATGTTCTGCTTTTGGATACTGTGGAATAATGAATGCTCCTTTTCTGCTCATATTTATCAGTAATAAAAGTTTCTGAGGGTCTATAATTAGTAAGGCAGCTGATGAGTGTTCTATGATGGATAGAAGAGTAAAAAATCTAACAGTAGAGTCAGTTACAATTGGTCAAGTTTGATATTCCTATCCAAGTACGATTTTGTTTCTTTATTATTGTTTAATGCTTAATTTTAAATGAAATGTAAATGCATCTGAGGAAGCTTTTACTTCTGATAAAGTTGTATTATGTTGCTCTTTATGATAAATGACAGGAAATAATTGTTCTTTTTGGGTTTATTTTTACTTAAGTTTATTTATTTTTTTCTTTTATAAAGGCATTTCATATTTTTATTTATTCAGCTATTGAGAATATGTACAACTACATAATGATATTGTCACTGATTTTAGATTTTTTTAGTTACTAGAAGAATTCATGACATGAAATTACAGTAACCCTCATAACATTTTCAGAATCAATATATGGTAGTAATTCCACATGCTGTCATTTTATTATTTCATGAATATAGATATACTCCTTTTTTTTAATACCTGTGTACATATACATATTTTTTGGTATGTGGATGTGGGAGTTACATTTTAATACAGTTGTTTAGAATATATATTTTTATTGGGTGATCAATTATGTATCCAGTTTAGATTATACAATTGAAATAGTAAATAAACAAGGTTTTTTTTATAGGAAATAGTTTATACTAAAAAGGCCATTGTTTATAAACTAGGTACTAATTGTTTCAAAAATATTTATATTGGTATTGTATAAAATTGCCAGAAAAAGATTCCAAGCTAAAGAAAATAATCATGAATGGATATGCATTGTAGGTATGAAACATGTATTCAACTGTTATCAAGCTGAGTAATGTACATCAGTATAAATATGTTAAGCAGCTGACTCAACCCTTTTATCAAGTAGAGGTATTTTTCAATAGCCTGCCAACATCAGATGGATCCCCTTTGCTTTTGCCCAGTTTGTGTGTTCAGTAAGCAAGAAAAAATGTAAAAAAAAAAAAAAAGTTATATTTATTTGTTAGTCTTCCAACTTATAGTTATATTAGGTGTGTATGAATCAAGAGATTATTAATGAGCTTTAATCTTATTATTTTGCCCCATTTATATATGAATATATTTTCATTTATGCACTTTAATTTTGTATTATGTAGGTTTTTTAAGCATTACTGGCATAAGAACATTATGATGTCTTGTGTCATCATGTAAGAACCATAGGTTTTTGGAACTGCATTGTTGCATATTTTCATACTTTTGTATTTTTATATGGTCGAATCATGTCTGGTCTGCAACAGTATGTATAGATTAGGAATCTTTGTTGGGGGGGAAAGATATCGAGCAGTCTAGTCTTGAAAGCATAACAACTGTAGGATGTTCACAGAGCTTACTGTGTTAGCTCCAAACTTCAGTTGTTTTGAGTTATACTGAGATGTGCAAGATACTCTATGGTTGAAAGATACTTGCCCATTCTGCAGTTGTTAAGGTCTGGAGCTATGTTTGAAGGAAGTGCAATGTTTGTATGCCTGTAGCTATATAAAACCTTACATCATGCAGTCCTTTTTATTATTTCCTGAAGAAGAAAGATACAATTGAAATGAGATCCATCATAAAAGCTTACTTCATTTACATTTGATCACAGATATTACGCTATATTTGAAAAGAAGGGAAAAGCCTCAATAAAACATGAAGTGGATTCACAGTGTCAGGTTAATTAGGTAGTTTTTCTAAAATATGAAAGTAAAAAAAAAAAAAGTGGTAACATTTATTTTTAAAATTTTATTTAATAATTTAAAAGATAATTAATTCTTTGACATACTTTGTGTCAGGGCCAGTTTGGCTTTTAAGAAAGTTATTTGTTTAAAAATATTGATATATAAAAAAACAAGACTAGGTGTAAAAGTAAACTTCAGTGCTTTTGACATCAAATATCTGAATTGTGGGGAAATTAAGCTCAAGTTATCATTCTTAAAATGTAAAGCTAATGTTTAATTTGTCTGTTCAGTGTCACTAATAATCTATATCAACTGATACTACAGTAACTGGAAAGAAGTTCAGATTTTGGTTCACAAAGTGAACACACACACACAAAACAAACAAATCTGAGACATTT